AAACTGACTGAACGTCTGCAGGCTCTTGTGACAGGCTCCTTGGATTGTCTTGAAAATGAGGATGTTAACGACAAAGAATTTCTTAACCTTCTCAATGAAAACAAAAAGCTGAAGTATCGCATCAACATTTTGAAAAAGGTATGTAATGTCTGTAGAACTTAATTTCTAAAGTTGTGAGCATGCTTGTATGTTTTTTTTTTTTTTTTTCTATTATTTTTTTCTTTTAAATATTCTTTTATTTATTTATAGTTAGTTTTATACAGCAAAGTCCTGGAAAATACCTTGTGCTTTTTTTTGCATGTATACCTAGATCTAAATTATATATGTATATGTTAATATGTTAATTTCAGTGTAGATAAGTTTGGATGGGTGGTACTTTATTGTAGAAGCTACGAAAAATGCATTACTTTATATCGCCTTATGATTGTGATTATTATTAATGTCATTTTCTTTTCTTACTAATTTATTCTTCTTAAGACAGCATTAGCTTAATCTGTATGGGTTCATGACTAATCATAATTATTTTCTTTCCAATTTAGTGCAGTAAAGAGAATAGGAGCATGGCTTGACTCCAGATGTGCTTACAGCATACAACAAAATATATCTTAGTATGTGCATAGGTTATTTTGATTACAGATCTGAAAAAGGCAAATGATTTATAACTCTTACAGTAATGTACTGTGATGAGATTCTAAACCTACAAAGATAGGTGATTTCCTTCAGTATTGTTAGAGCTGAAATATAAATTCCTGGCATCCCATTGCCCTTAACCCACTGATTACCATGCACTGTCCAGTACTGTTTGCTTTTTTACTCTTTTTTTCACATACTGATGACTCCACAAGTGCTTAGTCACCAAGGTGTTAGTTATTTGGCCTTCCTTACTTCTCCAGTCTACCCAATTCTTAGAACATAAATGGGAAAATATTTTATATATATTATCATGATTATTTTTGTTATTGTTGTTTTTTTATTATTTTTGGTGTTATTATTGTTGATGTTGTAGTTATTATTATTATTATTATTGTAACTCATTGTTATTATTTGTTATTATTTTTCCTATTATTATTATTGTTATTGTTATTATAGCTCCTTTGATTTTCTTTATCCAGATGGTAATGGATTGTTTTCATTGCACAGACTCTATATTATCTCTCTAGTTAGTCCATAAATCATTGAATGAAATTGAAAATAAGTAACATTTTCTTAATTGTGTAATTTTAAAAATATTTTTACGTAATATTCAGTTATCTGTAATACAACCTGCACTGCCGGTCACAGTGGCCAGGAATAGGATGCTGAGCATGGAAATGGCTTTCCCCCTAGAGCCAGCACTATTCTAGTCATGGCCCATGGACACTATATTTCATGCTCATTTATTAATGGGAATAATGGTAAAGTGCCTGCGTAAACACCAAATAAGTCTGATCATCCTCATGATAGCAAGTTTGTGTCACCTGGCCTACAGCCATTTTTTTCCATGACGACATGTTCACATCACCCACCCCTCAAGCCAAATTTTTTCATGACAGTGGTCACATCATTCGCATTGAAGGGGTTAATATCCGGTGAGAGTTCTCAGATATAAAACAAAATCATTACAAATTGATATATCCACTCACCAGTAAGTAGAACCAATTGTTCTCCAATATTATGTAGTAGTAAGTAGATCATCACTATTTGAACAGTCACATTTAACTCTACCATGAAGGGCCAGAATTTTCTGTGATGTTATTATTATGCAAGTCAGTTCTTCCTGGCTGTGTTTGTGCTGTTGTACAGCCAGGCCACCCACTCACTCACTAAAGTGAGTCATGACGTGTATACATGTCAGACACCATCACATGACAGTTATAGGCGTGCCCATCAATAAAGGGTGAGGTATCATCAATAAACCATCCATTGATATAGTTTTACACTATTTTTTCATAGTAACATTATGACTGGTACTTGACTGTCAGGTGAAATAGATAGATGCAACTGTGCAACTGTTGAGAATTTAAACTCATAATTTCCCACCTACAAGCTAATGCAGTACCTTTGTAGAGGAAAGATTGTAGAACTTTTAAGGTTTTGTTTTGCTCTCTGGAATTTTTATTACCCTTTGGTGTTACCAAAGAAGTGGGGAAGGGAGAGAGAGATAGGAGTGGAGGAGGTTAGGAAGAGGGAGAAACAGGGACACAACCAGCATTATTGTAATGAACACATAGATCCCATACATTGGACCAGCCAGTCAGTTGAAAGAGGGCAGGTTTATCCACAAGTGAGACTGAACAGACAGTAAAGCTTGTTTTATATTTTAGTTAGGCTTTTTTATTACTGGCTTTCTGTTATGGATGTTTAAAATCAAACTTTTCAGATTAGGTATATTTTGAGTCATAATGTTCATAAATGATGTAATTAGTTAGTAAAATATAGATAGATAGTTTTTGTAGTAGTAAATCCCTTTTCATTCTATTCCAGACTTGTGATGCCACAGCTAACCTCCAAGTCATTATGAATTAACTGTGGACAAACTTTACATATATAAGATGGACACTAAGTGAAATGACTTCATTTTTGATATGATGTTAATCAGAATATAATCAGTGTAAAAGTGGAATATAGTGGAAATCATATCAAGGATAGTGTATTACAAAATACATTTTTAATAGAGAAAACACGAAATTGAGAATCATACAGTAATTTACCACTGGACATAATGGGAGATGTGACTTGCAAGAAATTATGTACTCAGCACTTGAGGGAGCAATCACCGTCTTCTTTGTTTTGTGGACAAGGGGTAGGAAATGGTTATGTGTTCTTTATTGCCCCTGTATTAATGTTAGTTTACTGAGGGATACTTTAGTTTCAAGTAATGGTAATCAGGCTAGATCTTATTAATATGTTTTTCAAAGCATGTGCACCTGTAGGAATAGTATGTTAATGCGGGTAGAGATGTATAGTATTATTATTAGGTATTGATTTGTACTATATAAGCCTCATTTACTAGAGGTGATTGAAATCAGAGTTTTCTACACAGGTTAAGTTTCCAGATTAGGACTTTAATTCACTTTGAAATACTTTGTTTACAAATATCTAACTCCATACACACATTTGATATAGCTTATCAGTAAGATGTTCTTGTTTCAAGTAGTCTGGTCACAGGGAATTTTAAAAAGAGATCTCTAGAGTTTTATAGGCTATCTGTTAAGCATGGCTTAACACAGAGCTGCTGGGGATTGCATGTACGTACATGCCATTCCCACTGTGAGTTTAGTTTAGTTTAGTGACAAGGACTTAGCCACTAAGAAGTCAATTACTCTTTTACTACCCATCTCACCTGGATAACCTCTTCCTTATTCTTTTGGAAATATTCTCTTTTTATCTTTAATTACTATTTATAAAGTTAGTAACACTATACTAGTTATAATGTCTATAATGATAGCATCAACATTGATAGTATTAGTTAAAAAAAGGGGGGGGGAATATCAAGAAAATGTGAAATCACTTGTCATGAGTTCTAAATGACTCCTTGGTGGCTGAGCACTTGTGAAGCCAACTATGCATAGAGACATTTAACAAAACAAACTAAAGTTAACAGCTTTGGGTTAATTTAGCTCAGCTGGCATTAGCTTTATAAGGATGTGTGTGAAAACTTATGATGATGCAAACCATGTTTTGGAAAGTTGCTGGCATGCAGTAGTAAACATTAGGTTATGCAAATTGTGCAGAAATGTTGATATTACTTTAGAATTATTTGAGCTATATGGGATGTTTTTCACTGTATGTAGCTACTGTATTTTTATCTTGTGAAAGATTCATGATTTCATATTGTGATATATCCGCCTGAGAAATTAGTTATGGTCTTCACTTGTGAAATAAGTCTGCTGTTGAGAAAAAAATAAAGCCAAGATTATAGCTGAGTTGAGGGGTGCTTCGTGTTTGTCAATGCAGTGGTTTCCAGCTGTTAGATTTGTATTGAAATGTTTAATCTTGCTACTACTGTATGTACAGATATTACTTTTCCCTGAATTTGTACTTTGCTTTTTAGGAAAGAAATTTTTCTCCACTCTTGCTGATGTAATATATTTGATTTTTTTATTTCCAGACTTTTGTTGTTTATTTATTCATTTGTGTATAATTTATTTATTTTATTTTATTTTATTTTATTTTTTGTGGTGGGGTATATTTCTTATTGCCAAAACTTATTATTTTAGCATAAGCTCTATGTCATTGGGGTTATATATTCCTGCTTTGTATTATAAACAAGAATTAATGGGACAACCATTAGTTAAGAAAATGGGGGAATGATTGGTAGTGGCAGTGCTGAATTTACCACTAATGGAATTCTCAGTTAATATGATTATGGAGTAGGCTTTTTTTCATAAACATTAACATTCATCATTTGGACACTCAACATTAAAGTGAGAGGGTTACTTCGGTAAATCATATTACCCAGAAGGCTTACTTAAGGGGTGGCTGTCCTGGATGTGTGGTTTGTAAACCCAACTCACATGAACATTTATGTGCTGTGACAAGATTCCTTGCTTTTTCTTTGCAGTCTTATTGTCTTCTGCATAAGAATTTTTTTTCTCCAAAGGTCTATATTTGTCATTTGGTATGCTGTATCTAGATGGTGATATTATATCACTTACATTGAGATCGAGTATGTTAGAGACATTCTCTTTTTCTCATTTATGCAAGTGTGCAGTGTAAAATGTTGTATTTCATTAATACATCATTAAAAATGAATGACTTAAATAAGTACCAAATTAGGCAGATGCCTGATAATGTCACAATAAGTGAAGCAAACAAACCAAGAAATTCCCATAGCCGGCCAATATTCCTCATCACTGCCACATCATTACCTCACTTGTTCACAAAGTACGAGTTTTAAAAGGAGTGAAATCAAAGTCACGTTTGTTTAAATTTTATGTTGACATTGTTTCTATGCACTTGTGGTAGAGAAAATGTTTGAAGATGAAGTGTTAGCCAGGATTGCTGTCCTTGTTGTAAAGCTATATATATATATCTATATATTTAATTATTTCGTCTGAAACCATTTTTTCTGCTGGCAACAGAGCATAGAGGCTGCAGGAGGGGATGCAGGCAGCAGCAACACAGATGACTTTGGCAGCCACATGTGTAATATTATGGGTCAGCTAGAGAAAATCTTCACTAAAGCAGTGCTCTCTGCTTATCCTGAAGCTGTCAGCCCTATGATTCAGATTCAGCTTTCTAAGCATGCAGATTATCAGTGTAATGCTGCTATGTCTCTTGCAAAGGTATGTTTTATTATTTTTTATTTCTTTTGTGTAGTGTTTATGGTTTTATAACATTTTGCTTGTTTGTTATTAAATAGTATTATACCTATGTTAGATTGAAGCTATTGATCTTTGAGAAAAGAAAGCTAGGAATGGATAGAAGTGCAGGGTGGATATTGCTATGTGCCCCCATCAGTGTTAGCCCCTTGATGATAATGATATGATCCATTGCAGTTGATGAATATTTTGTTACAGGTTTCTGGATTAATATATTAAGCCAAAAAGTTTTGCTGTTGGTGTAGTAAACTATACTATTCATTAATAATTCAGGATTTTATCAACAGAGTCTTAAGAAAAACCCAAGAGAAGTAGGACAGCAGGTTCTGAAAAATGTTGCGCCAAATCCCCTCATTTCTAATCTTGAATTATCTGGACCTGGATTTATCAACATCGTCCTCAGCAAGGATTTCATCAGGCAACAGGTAATCATATAGAGATGAAAGAGCAAGAGCATGAAATACTTCATATTTTCATTTCTTGGTTTTATAATTGTCCTATTTATTGAATAATTTAAAGTTATTTTAGTAATTCAAACACTTCTTCTAATGCCAGTTTTCACCTTACCACAGTATAATCGTAGGTATATTGCATTACTACTATTTTTGTTATGGTTGTTATTGTCTATTCACATTGATGTCTTTGCAGGTTACAAATTTAATACTGACTGGTGTAACGCCTCCTCCTGCAACACCAGTACAAGTAGTGGTTGATTTTTCATCTCCCAACATTGCAAAGGAGATGCATGTCGGCCATCTGAGGTAAGCACTTCACATTTGTATATCATATGGTCTTCATAAAAGAATACAGCTTCAATGATCTTCCATCAGATGTCTAATTAATACTGAAAACTTGTACAGTTATTTTAAGTGTAAAGGTCATGAGTTCAAAGGATTTTAGGCATAGGATGAATTCACTTATATCTTGTGTTTTACTTGGGTCAAAGTCATGTTGTATGATGTGAGTACATAATTGTTCATGTAGGATATTCCATAGACCTGATTTTAGAATAAATGAAATTTTATATATACAATAGATGGATATTTATTAGCCTATGCAAATGATTGTATCTGTATTCATCTGCAAATAATACCTTTTATTTTGAGTTATTTAAGATAGAAAGGAGTTCAGCACTGATGAATGCATACTATAAATATCTTTTGCATTTTTTTTTTTTTTTTACCTTTTTTTTTAGATCGACCATTATTGGTGATAGTATTGCTCGCTTACTGGAGTTCCTTGGGCACAAAGTTTTGAGACTCAATCATTTAGGTGATTGGGGAACACAGTTTGGCATGCTCATTGCCCACTTGCAGGTAAAACTTAGTAATTTGTGGATTTTATGAAAGTCTTATTTGGCAAATGATGGATTGTTGATATGATTTGTATTGTTGATATTTATTACTGGTATAGTACAGTATATGCATTATTATGTTTCAGTATTGCAGTATCTGTTTGTTCCAAAGCTTGGAATACTGGTAATGGTCATTTTGTCCACAATAGCTTTCAGTGAACCAACTCCTTTCTTATATTTGCAGGATACTTTCCCAAACTTTGCAACAGAACCTCCACCAATTGCTGATCTCCAGAAGTTTTACAAGGAATCTAAAAAGAGATTTGATGAAGATGAAGAATTTAAGAAGCGGGCTTATGAAGCAGTTGTAAAATTGCAAGCCTACGAACCTTTACACAAGAAGGGTTGGGAAGAAATCTGTGAAATTTCAAGAAAGGAGTTTATGAAGGTATTTTCTTGTTTTTTAATGTTTTTGATTATCTGCTTGTTGTTACTCAAGTTCTTGTACTTCATACATCTTTCCCCTCCATTCCTTTTCCTCTTGATCATCTTCAACCTCTTTCTCATTTTCCCTCTTCTCCTCCTCCTCATTCTAAACTTCCTGCTCATCCTCCTGTTTTTCCGCCTCCATCTCCTTCCATTCTCCTCCTCCTCCTCCTCCCCTCCTCCTCCTCCTCCTCCTCTCCTCCTCCTCCTCCTCCTCCTCCTCCTCTCCTCTTTCTCCTCCTCCTCTTTCTCCTCCTCCTCCTCCTCCTCCTCCTCCTACTTTCTCCTCTCTCCTCCTCCTCCTCCTCCTACTCTCGTCTCTTCTCATGCTTGTCTTTCATTGGTCTCCTCTTGCTCTTTATCCTTTTTTTTCTTTTCTTTGTTTCTTATTTTACTTTCTGTTGTTTTCTAATAAATAGCCAAAGGAGGTTTTTGTTAGGCTCTTGTTATTATAATGATCTAGAAAAACAAATTGCCAAGTGCCTTTTTTTTCTTCCCTTTTCTGATTATCTTTTCAAAGTTTTTATTTCTGTTGAATAATCAAGATATTTAGTTTATATTGCTTATCTTTTTTCTCCTGTCCTCAGGTTTATGAACGTCTCCAGATTCGTATCATAGATAGGGGTGAATCCTTTTATCAGGAACGAATGGTTAAGCTTGTTAAAGAGCTAAATGATGCTGGATTACTGGAAGAAGACGATGGTCGTAAGGTTTGTGATGTTTATCATTAGAATTGATTTTTAAGATATAGGTGTTTTGTACTGGGTTCCTGTTGATTATAATCAAGATTTTGTTATATGTATTTGATTATTTTGACAGACAGACAGTTTGACAAAGAGTGAGTGAGTGATTGAGAGAGAAATGTATATATTTTATTTTGATCATATCCCAAGGTCAATACTTAGTGACATATTAACAGAAAGCTGAGGAGAAGTTTTCATTTTAAAATTCCAAAAATGGTAAAGGTTTGAGTAAAGTAAATATGATTTGGAAAAGGCTTGGGTTCTGCTGTATTGTTTACATGAAAGATGCTAATGGTATATTCCTGCCAATTTATGAAAGTGAATGTGCCAACAGTATGTTGAGAAAACTTACTGCCATGTGTTTGTTTGAAAAAAAATTATCGAGTAAAATGCAAAATTAGTGGGTATTCGTGGTTATTGCTGTAGCTTTTATTATTAATATTGTTATTATTATTATTATTGTTATTATTATTATTAGTAGTAGTAGTAGTAGTAGTAGTATATTTATTATTTGATATTACTATTATTATTACCACCACCATCATCATTATTATTATCATTATTAATTGATATAAATCCAACTCTTTTCAGGTTATGTTTGGAGAAGGAACAGATGTCCCATTGACTGTTGTGAAGTCAGATGGTGGTTTTACCTATGATACATCAGACATGGCATGCCTTAAGCACAGGATAGATGAAGAGAAGGCTGATTGGATTGTGTATGTTACAGATGCAGGACAGTCACAACATTTCAAGGTAAGACTATTTTACCCAGTGAAAGTTAACTCTCGACTAACTCCTTATTCTCTTGGCTTGTAGAGGAGGTTGATCCGATCTAACCATAGCTGAAAAATATTTGATTTTTAAAGGTTAAGTAATGTTTGTGATTTTGCATTTGAAGCATGATACCTTGAAATTAAAAATGTTCAGTGATGATTATGGTAAGTGACACTAGTTTGATATTACTGGATGTACTTGAAGAATTAGAAATAATGATCTAATCTTTCATGTAATCATTAATTTTCTGTAAAGACTCATGTTCTTTTGTGATCATGAAGCTCTCATAACCATATCCACAATGTAACGAAAGCTCAGTTATGTGCAAGTAGGTAGGTAAATAAATTAAAGTAAAAAAGTACAAACGTAGTGTGTTTCTTTTTGATGCATGTTGATAGTTTTATCTCACTCCCTCTGTCTTGCATCATGGTAAGAATTGATAACATTCAGCATGAATGAGACTAAGATAATACAAGGTAACCATTAGATATGGTAGAGTTAAGGTGGTAGGGGAAGAAGGAGAGGTAGGTATGTCATGTGGTTAGACTACAGTGAAATTACATGTCCAAATATTTGGGGCATTTGCCAATGAGGTTATAAAAAAAAAAATCCAGTAAGATTATATATTTATATTTTGTATCAGCTAAGATTAGTAGGCATTTATTTATATTATTATTATTTTAATGTACTTATCTGTAAGGGAATAAGAAAAATTTATATGTGTTTTGAATTATTATACACAGATTCTCTCGCCTCTACAAATATCTCGAGTAACTTTTAGGATATATCTTTTTATTATACATTTAACAAGATTTTTTTTATCCTTGCAGAGCTTTTTGGCCTGTGCAAAGAAAGCTGGCTTTTATAATGATGTCAAAACACGTGTGGATCATGTCACATTTGGCGTGGTTTTAGGAGAGGACAAGAAGAAATTTAAGACAAGATCAGGTAATATTATTACAATATAGAAAAGTTGTTGCATATATCAAAATGAGTTTCTTTTTTAACTTGTCATATGTCTCTGTCTGTCTGTCTCTGTCTGTTTGTCTCTGTCTGTTTGTCTCTCTCTGTCTCTCTCTCTGTCTCTCTCTCTCTCTCTCTCTCTCTCTCTCTCTCTCTCTCTCTCTCTCTCTCTCTCTCTCTCTCTCTCTCTCTCTCTCTCTCTCTCTCTCTCTCTCTCTCTCTCTCTCTCTCTCTTTTCTCTCTTTTCTCTCTTTTCTCTTTTTTTTCTCTCTCTCTCTTCTTTCTCTCCCTCCTCTCTCTCTCTCTCTCTCTCTCTCTCTCTCTCTCTCTCTCTCTCTCTCTCTCTCTCTCTCTCTCTCTCTCTCTCTCTCTCTCTCTCTCTCTCTCTCTCTTCTCTCTCTCTCTCTCTCTCTCTCTCTCTCTCTCTCTCTTCCTTCTTTCTCTCTCTTCCTCTCTCTCTCCTTCTTCCCCTCTCCCTCTCTCGCCTCTCCCTTCCCTTCCCTACTCTTTTTGATTCTCTTGGTGTCTCTGTTTCTCTGATTCTCCTGTTCCTTCTCTCTCTCTTTCTCTCTCTCTCTCTGGTTCTTATTCTTTTATTCTTTCTCCCCATTACATCGTAAGCTTAACCATACATATAGGCTATTTAAGTTGAGTATAGACTCCAGCTTCAAAACTTCATATTTACAATTTTTTTTGCAAATTTGTAGGTGATACAGTGCGATTGATTGATTTGCTTAATGAGGGTCTTCAGAGGTCTGAAGAGAAGCTGAAAGAGAAGGATCGACATACAGTTCTTTCTCCAGAAGAGTTTGAAAAGGCTCGGGATGCTGTTGCTTATGGTTGCATTAAATATGCTGACTTGTGCCATGACAGGTAAGTCAACCGTGCTAACGAATGTTTTTCACGTGATTACAAGCTGTCATTGTTGTGGGCCATTTGCTGTACCTGATTGAAATTTCATACTTAATTTACCAAGATGAGTGCAAGGTGTAGTGTGTCATTGATTTGTAATTTCAAAAATTTGCTCTACTTTTTTTCCCCAGATCTCGAGACTACATTTTCTCTTTTGACCGTATGTTAGACTTCAGGGGGAACACTGCTGCGTATCTTCTCTATGCTCTCACCAGGATACGTTCCATCATTCGTACAGGTATTCACTGTTTCCTTGGTAAAAAGTGTGTATTATATACTGCTTTTGGGCTGTTTTGTTTATGATTTGAGTATTTTGAGGGAATACTTCACGCTTGCTTGTTTGCTTTTAGATTTGGTATTTCCTGTTGACAGTAGAACAGGTCTTAGTCTGGTAGTTTCGGGTCCATTGCTAAATTAAATTTGTATTACATAGCTGGAGTGAAACCAGAGGAAATTGAAGCTGAAGCCAAGAAGGGCGCGATAGCCTTAGAGCATGAGAAGGAGTGGAAGTTGGCAAGAACCATTCTGAAGTTACCTGATGTGCTTGTCCAGATTACTCAGGACCTCTACTTGCATCCACTCTGTGAATTCCTTTATGAGGTAAGTTAATGTTTCTTACTTTATTTCTCTTAATTGATTATCTGAATTATCTGTTGTTTTATAATGACATTTAAAAACCTTTTATGTAATGTCTAATAATTGGTGTTGCTTCCCTACAGGTGTCCACAGTATTTACAGAATTCTATGATAACTGCTATTGTGTGGAAAAGGACCAAAGTGGAAATATTGTCAAGATCAATATGAATCGCATTTTGCTTTGTGAAGCAACAGCACAGATCATGGAAAAATGCTTTTCCATTTTAGGAATCACAACAGTAGGGAAAATGTAGGTTCATTTCACTACATCTCACTGCTATTGTGCAGAAGATCTAAATCCAAACTTTGCCAGGAATCTTTCAAAGATACAACCAAATTTACTTTTACATCATAACAAAAGTTGTTATCATTATATATTTGTTACAACTAATTTATCTTGGGATTGATTGGAAAAACAATTACTTTAATTATTGTGGTTGTTACTACAGCTATTGATTAAATGTTTATGGGTTTTGTACGAGATGATGCTTGATTAAAGATCTAAAAACAAAACCTTTTATCCTTGATTCCTTTTTGATACTGTTGAAAAACCTAATTTTTCTATATTGAATGTCATACTGACTCCCATGTTTTTATCCAGCAACACTTATGTCTACTATTGATTCATAAAAAAACAAGTGGAGTAAAGGAGGAATCAAAGGAAGTGGGTCATGAGAATGTGCAACATCGCAGTATATAATCGGTAAAAATATACAGACAACATTAAATGATTGGCGTTCATGTCCAATGATTGACGTCAAAGATGGGCAGACTACTAGCTATCCCCCCCCCCCCCCCATCCCTTGCTCATTGTCGGGGGTTTAGGAGATGGAGGCTGAGGCCCAATGTAGGGGATCATCCCAACCTTGGACCTTAGCCATCGCCTCAACTAATTTTGCACAGCCTTCTGCTAAAAGTAATTAACATGTCATAAATCAATCTCCCGGGCTACATGTAAGAAGAAGTGGAAATCAATGTTAGATATATAAACAACAGCAAATAAAGAAATATTGGTTGCTACTTTTTTAGGTGTGTGGTCAGACTCAGTGCATAATGCAGAAAATGCATAGAAAAGAAATTAGAGCTCTTCATAAAATTAATGCCCCAATCTCTTGCCTGTTGTTGCCGTAGGGGTTGGGGGTGGGGCCTAAGAGATGGAGACTGAGACCCAATGTCAGGGATCACCCCCATCCTGGGCCTCAGTCCTCGACTCAACTAATTTTACATGGTCTTTTCTTCTCCTTACCGTATCTGTTTCTTCTCCAACCCCTACTATCTACTTCCTAAGATGTGAGAACCCTGTTGAAAGGATGAAAGGCTGGCTTTGTGTCAGTCATGAGCGACCTAGGGCCATGGCCACGGTATGCCCCTGCATAGTTGTCTAGCCCTTACCCCGCAGGGGACCGTGAGGGATAGACCATTTCTTTCCCCTTTATCTGTATCTACTCCATCTTACGTTTCCCCTTGTACCTCCCTTCCTCTCCCAATTAGTCTTTTGCAGTTCTAAATCCAGACACCCCAATCTCTACTATTGCTCCGACACCTACCCCTCTCCTTCTTAGCTCTACCCCAGTAGACGCTAAATGTTCCACCCGATCTTTTACCTCACCCACTCCTCCACCTACCTCTTTATCTCCCCTCAAAATCTCTTATTCTCCTCATAAGAAAACCTGTTTTTCTCAGATCTCCCCAACCACATTCACTTCAGAAACTCTCGAAGACATTCAGAACCATCAAATCATGGCCCAGAATAATCTGCCTACACTTCATCCATCTTCCAACCCCTCTGATCCTAATCCCTCCACATTCACGTAACTGCCATCCTTCCTCTTATTCATGTTCCCCCTACACCCCTTTTGCTCACTCCCCCCATCCCGTTCCCCTCTACTTCATCGGCACTATCCCCCTTCCTTCCCCTTTATCCTTTCAGCTTTCCCCTGGATACACATTACTCTTTGTTGCAACAACCCCCTTCCCTGGATTTTCTTCCTTCTGACATTTCTCCTGAAACTGATCTAACTGCCCGTAAACCCCCTTTAGACCATTTATTCACCATCTACCCTCACCCCTCTTTAACCTTTTTCAATGCCATACTATTCTGAACTGCTATACGACTTGATGTGTAGCACATTCAATCATCAACTTACCCCCTTCTTTACCCTTTTTCACTACTACGCCTTTCCATCGTGCTGTATGACCTTTGATGTGTAACACATCTATTCCTTTGTAACCATTAACCATTCCGATAATAAAAGACCTTTTTATATGTCATGTCGATTACAAAGAACGATCAAACAAATACGAATTGGGAAAACTAGTGCTTACTCGTTATTCAGTCACATATTTAGGAATATTGAATATTGAATTGAAATTTGCACTGTCAATGACTTTAGAAAAAAACAATTACTGTATATTCTAGATGAATTTGATAATTAAAGTGGGCAGGTAGTGTATACTGTATTATGTTGCATATACGTTGAGCTTTGAGGCGTGATTTATTAAGAAAATGTTCACAAGCCACTAAAATAATTTTCGATCCCAAGTATAAAGATGATTATTTAATGATACAGAAGCTTACATTTCTAGATAATACAATATGTAATGCGCAGAAATGTGTATGAAACAAAAGGTTTATAGTACTTGCATGTTTATTTCAGTTTGCATTATGTTATCGACACTTGTCTACGTTATATGTAAATGGGTATTGTATTTTTTTAAAGGGTAGCATATTCCCAGATAAACTTGATCTTCAAATGTATAACTTCGTAGTAGAGAAAATGCTAGAAACTGAGAGGACAGGGTTGAATATTTTGATTTCTGCTCGAGGATGCACCATCATAGAGAAACATTTTCGACAGGTATAAATCATTCTTTTATTTTTTCTGAAGACTGGATCGTAGCAATGATCCAATCCATGTACCTATAGATATCCATATACACGGCTGGTTTCCCTGGCAGAGCGCATCCCTCTCGCCAGGACATAATGCCACCCAATACAACATAACCATCGCCGTCCACGCACGCTAGTCCGCCGCCGTTGTCCCCCTAGAAGGGAAACAGGGGGAAGTTATTCGTAGTTTTAGTGTATATGTATTACTTCTGTATACCTATTTGATTTATTTAATTTGCACGGGCACACGCAAACATCATCTGAATATATACAAACCACAGGAAAATAGCATTTGATATCTGTAACATAAGCCGCGGCTTCGTATTAGCATTTGATATCTGGAACATGAGCCACGGCTTCGTATATGTACGGGATATTTATACTCACCACGCAAGCACCGGCCCCACTGGCCCCGGCACATAAGGCATTTGGATCATGGGCTGCGTTGTATGCTGCTTCGCACTGAGTCGAGGATAGGAGGGCAACTTCCGTCCACATTAACTTGTCAGAGCCTGGCGCACCTTCGGATGTAGCGCCCCAGCCTGCCTCCCAGCATGGACCTACGCAGAATGCAGCCACATATAATTTTCGAAATGAAGTATTACTTAGTTAATGGTGTTTTTTTTTAATTGATAATGGAATGTTTATTTTGTGCTGCTAGAATGTCTCTTGTGAAATTAAGAGATCATTGAGAAAATGATGGCGCTTCTTAGAATTAATATAAACATTTGCAAAATAAACAGAAAAAGCAGATCAGTAAATGTAATAATACAAAATATTTTCAAACAATAAAAAGAAAGAAAAATCGCCATCAAATGTCTGTGTACCAGATGTCTGACCCACCCGTCAGAGGCGCAGGACTCGATGGCAAGGGAGGCAGGCTTGTGTACAAGTCGAGGACTGGGTCGAGGAGGATGAGGGCCACGTCGTTTTGGTAAGGATTCAGCCAACTAGAGACCAAACACGGATTGCAAATGGAAGTTCATTTATGTTTTTTCGTGACTGGACGAATAAATTTTTTACTTCTCTTTTAACTTTACTTCTGTGTAGTTATGATGCTAGCTTTAGATTATTGGCATATATATATTAACTTACAGATAAGAGAGATATTCTCTGGGGGTTAAAGTATCAGTTATCATCGTCTGGTAAATGCATATGCAATCAAACTGCCATAGAAAAATAATCAGGTCTATTGAACATGCAACGTTACTTCACTACTGCGAAGAAACTTACTAGATGTAGTCGGGATGCTGTATGAAATAATCCACGTACAGATACTGTTCAGAGCCTTCGTTGAGATTTCGATCGGCCTCACCTGATACCACCTGAATAAAAAAAAATCAAGCTATTTGGAAATGCGCGTGGAAACATCTAATCCCATGGCAACTAAACAGTTTCCCTGTACCAATGCACTCGAAGCATGGCGTAACACGTACCCAGAGCCATTCGGGCTTTTCAGAGTCCAGGCAGTGTGCGGCAGTCAGGACCCATTCCGTGCTGACGAGGGTGCCTCCGCATAAGGGCCAACTCTCCTGGAAGTTGGTGGCTTCGATGCTCACCAACCACGGGATTTCTCCTGTAAAAAGAAACAGAACGTGACATGCGAACCAAGAGAGCTTTTCGATTTTTCCTCTTTCTCTCTGCATCTTTCTTTCGCTTTCCTCTCTTCCTCTCTACGAGAAGAGAGGGGAAGGCGAGAGAGAGAGAGAGAGAAGAAGAAAAAGAGATAAGAGGTAGAAAGAGAAAAAAAAGAGAGAGAGAGGTACCCAAAGTCAACTCTCTTACCCGTATGGTTGATCGAAGAGGAGCAGAATCAGAGCAACTAAAACCGAGTGGCTTTTTGTTTCATTCGTCAGAATATAAGTAGTACATACCTGGAAATGCAACGTGACCTCCGGCAATCTTGGTGTCTTGTCTTGCACGCTCAGCAAGAACGCAGCCGAAGAGACCTGGGGAAAGGTATGTAAAAGTACCTGGAGTTAGAAAAATATAGTTGTAGAATTGAGGTAAGTTATACATTCTTATGAATCTCGTAGTATAAATCAAAATCCACATGAGACTGTACATTAAAAAATCAAGATTTTTGAGGTTACCACACGCTGGAAAGTTTTGAAAGCTTGAAATAGAAAAAAAAAAGTTAACTTACACAGGAACGCGATTGTGAACTTCATATTAGTTTCCTTACTGAATGTGTGTCCCGCAGTCGTCCTTATATCTAGACGGGGCACTTAAAGCACCCGTGGAACCGGACGGATTCTTATCATTTTCTCTCATTTCCCCGGTTTTTAACGTGGGAAATTGTCCATACCAGGCTCCCACTCGAGTGTCCAAGATATCATTCACATTACATGATTTTTACCCTGAATGATTCTACGTATTTCGAAGCTACGTGATAAGCTGGAGGATATTCCCTTACAGAATACCGGAACTCATGTATCCGGTGCAGTTGGGATAGCGAAGTAAATTAAAGAATGTTTTTTTTCATGTATCGTATCCGCCACACCAAAACTAGTTTTTTTTTCACTAGCAGGTTTAGCAAACTGCGCGGTAGTTCATCGTATCAGATGTAGATTATCACATTCAATTTTATCGGTATCATTACTGTTGCAGCGCTGATGAATGGCAATGATGGTGGTGGTGGTGATAATGGTGATGATGATGTTGATGCTGGCGGGGAAGAGGGTTATTGTTATTATCATTGTAATCATTATTATTATTATTATTATTATCATTGATATTTTCATTTTTACATTTATTATTATTATTATTATTATTATTATTATTATTATTATTATCATTATTTTCATTATTATCATCATTATTATTGTTGCTATTATTATTATTATTATTATTATTATTAGCAGTAGTAGTAGTAATACTACTACTACTGCTACCACCACCACTAATACTGTTAATATCATCATTATCATAAATAAAATAATCATTATTATTACCATAAGCGGTAGTAGTAATAAATTCTTATTCTTCCTAGTATCATTACCATTATTATTATCATTATTGTTAGTAGTAGCAGTAGTTGTGGGAGTAACTTTCTTATTCTTCACATTATTATCAAAACTATTATTGATATAATTACTATGAATATTATTACAATCATTGTCATTATAATCATTATTGTTGTTGTTATCATTATTGTTATATTTATAGTTATCAAAATTTTTCTTTCTACTTTTATTTAAAATATTACGAATAAATTACTATGCATTCTTACTAAATTATTACTACTATCATACAGATTATTATTTTTATCATTATTATATTGGTAAATATTGTAAGCATCCTTCTTCATATTATTGTTATTAAAAATTACTATTATTATTATTTCTTTTTATTCTTCTTACTACATTTATGATGATTATCATTATCATCCTCATCCTTATCATCATCATTATCATTATTGTTAATTATCATTATTATTAATGCTTTTTATTATTATTATCATTTTATAATTTTTATTATCAAATTATCATTAATATTTTTACTGTTATTATCATTATCACCATTATTATTATTATCATTATCATTACAATTATGATTATCATTATACTCATTACCATGATTATCATTATCATTATTGCTACCATCATTACTATCACTACCATCAGTATTACCATCACTATCATCATTATCATTACTTTCATTTAACTCTCGGGCGCTTATCCGTCTCATTAATTGTACCAATGAGTCTGAAGTTGGAGTTACTGATAAGACCACCCACGACCCAGCTGATGACGGCGATAAGGGACCTCACCTTCCCACAGTATCTACGGCATTTGAGAGTCTCCCTTGACGACCTGGTGCGAGGCGAGAGAGAAAAAAAAACAGGAGAGGATTTGTTATGTCGGACAAAGTGATCGTCTACGTTAAGAAAGTCGATAAATGAATTTGTGTGTTATCTATTTATTTATCTGTTTATCTATCTATCTATATTTATCCGCACACAGACACAGGCACACGCACACAAACACACTTTATATATATATATATATATATATTATATATATATATATATATATATATATATATATATATATATATATATATGTATATGTATGTATATATAATATATAAATAAATAAATAATAAATAAATATATATATATATATATATATATATATATATATATTATATATATATATATATACATATATACATATATATATAATATATATATATATATATATATATATATATATATATATATATATATATATATATATATATATATATATATATATATATATATATATATATATATTTATATATATATATATATATATATATATATATATATATATATATATATATATTATATATATATATATATATATATATATATATATATATATATATAATATATATATATATATACTCTCAAGATCGGTAAAGTGTCTTACTTATGCCATATTCTAATAATTGTGACTATGCGTAATATTCTCTGGCACAAAGATAGATACAGGTTAGTCAAAAGCTAAAAAGATTGTCATAGGGAAATACTACATCCTGTGGGGAATAGCTGTTAATAAGAAAAATGGACGGAAAAGGCCAACAAGAAAATGATCAACGAAAATTAATCTTGAAGGTGATAGAAGCCCTAGAAAAAAAAAAAAAAAAAAATGGCGCCTATGATGGTAGTTTGAGCAATGCGAGTAGTGTTCATTGTTTTTGTTCATTTTCTCCGTGCTAGATGTGGTTGCGAGGGTGTAGGAAAACTCGAAACGAATTCAACGATTTATTTGTGAAATACTGACAGGACTAAAGTTGAATATTCAGCAGTTGAAAGGATTACACTCTGGAAAAGAGAGCGCGTACTCGGAGGCCCGACCCAATGAATTATCATATATACGGACATGAAAATACAGAAATGGATGCATAACTGTCTATCTATCTGAGAGATATACATTTATCTATCTACCCGGTAAATATGCATGTCTAGATCGATAGATATGCATCTATTTCTGTGTATATGCGTCTCTGTCTGTTTGTTAGAAGTGTGCGAGACCCGACCCAAAGAATATTCGTATACTAGACATGCATAAGGAAATAAATGCATATTCATCAGTCTAGACATGCATATCAACCGAGCAAATAGATAGTCAAATGTATATCTATCAGATATATTGACATATATGGATTTATGAAAATTCATTGGGTCGGGCCTGGCACAATTTTAACAAACCGGCCGAAAGACTGCTGAAGACTTAGGAAACACCAACTGAGGAGCCGAATCTGTTTATAAGAACGAATTAAGACCAAACCATATACCACGAACTATATAAATCTAAAAACTAAACTGTATAATCGAAAAAATCATGAATGTATAGTACTATAAAGCATAAGATTAACACATACCTCCGTCAAGGGAATAAAGCCACTGATGCAATAAAAATATTCAGATACATTAAAATCACCTTTTTCAAGTAAACAGGTGACGACCGTAAAACTACCTCCTTGACAGAGGGAAAGGATTAGGGGTAATGATACAATTATTAAAAAAAATCGTGGATCTGGATCACAATCCGGATCACCATCAAAATATAATGGGATTTAAATTAGGCCAAGATACACCTCTGGTAAAAATTCCATAAAAATCTTTTCTTAAATTTTTGTTATCCTGCTGACAATCTAAGAAATATTATCCATATCGCCGACAAAATTTAACAGAATCTGTTAGGGTAAGACACATCTCTGGTAAAAAAAAAATCAGTAAAAATCTATTCTTTCTGAGTCATCCTGCTAACCAACGAACAGACAAACAAACTAACCAATGTGACCAAAAACAAAATGTGAGGAAAAGAGAAAACGGATAGGATTAAGAAAGAGGAAAGGGGGGGGGGGCACAAAGGTTCCATCTCTGAACTATTCGTTAACCTTTGACCCTTATTCCATACTCAGGAGACTGGACTCACTCCCAAATCAATCAATTCATTCAAAGACATAGTTTGCCATGTTGGCTTGGTCAGACCAGGCAGCAA